GCCTTTCTCACTGTTGTAATTTTGAAAGAAAGACTGCCCTTTTTATTTACTTAAAGACACGACATGCCACATGTTAATTGGCACGATAAAAGACATCCACTGTTCCCCTCAAAGACTACTTCTAAAACCAGCAAGACCTGCATCATATAGAAATTTAGCTATTTTTCTCTGTTTAATTCTTCAAGTAATATTGTGTTTTTGTGATTATGGCTAATGGGCAAGCACCAACCAACCCCGTTCCTGCTATGAGAACATACCCGCCAGTGGAGCATCCAGTGGTGGTAATAGGGCCTAGGGCCACAGTACCTGGCACAGTACCCTGTTGAACTCGCCGTCTCCAGAAAGCTATGGAGTCTTGGAGAAAATTATTTTAAGGTGTCTGACATTAATGGCACCCTCATCTTCCAAGTCAAGAGTAAACTCTTAAGCTTGCATGATCGTCGTTTTCTGAAAGATGCAGCTGGTAACATCCTTGTCAATCTCAGGCAGAAGGTATGCTTAATTGATCATTTCATATGTTTTCTTAGCTTCTTCTTCGATGATATGGCTTGCTGCGTGTTATACTTCTCTCCAGATAATGATCTGCATCAAAGGTGGGAAGCTTTTAGAGGAGAAAGCAAGGAGGAGAAAGACTTGCTTTTCACAGCCAAGAAATCAAAGCTGTTCCAATTCAAGACTGAGTTAGACGTATTCTTGGGTAATAACAAAGGAGAGGTCCCTGATTTCAAGGTGAAAGGAGGCTACAGCGAGAGTTCCTGCTCTATACTTCTCGGAGATTCCAATACCATGCTTGCACAAGTTTAACGCTCCAATTCAGTCTTTAGTCCTAAGTCAACAACTATTTAATAGGTAATTATTAATTATTTAACTAGATTTGTGGCTGGGGGGATAAAAAAAAAAATAATTACAAAAAATTCAAGATACGAGTTATTGGTTAAATTAATAATTTAAAAAAAATATAACAATAATAAATAAACAAACAAAAAAATAATAATGAAAAAAAGTTAATAAAAATAGTTTTAAGCTAACTTGGATGATGGAACAAGCCAATGCTAAAAGTAAAATTGAAAAACAAATTAAGAAACAACAAAAATTCCGTAAATAACTTGTAAATTTTATGAATATTTACCTGAGATAGATAATTTTACAGAAAAAAATATTAAAAAAAAATAAAAATTAATTCATAATAAATTAAATAAAAAGATGACAACTCTAAAAAAAAAAAAAGGAAATAGATGAAGTTCAATATCTAGTAAAGAAAATAATGAAAGATGAAAAATAAGAAAAAATTAAAATTTGAAAAAGGTTGGAAAAATACTACTCGAGCCCACCAAATTCAAGTTACAAAATCTCTAACCTAGTGGTGATATTAGGATGACCATGTTCAAAACAAATTAAATAAAATCATAAAATTTAATTATCATTATCAAACAATTTAATATTGAAGAATAAAAATAAGTAATTTAACAAAACAATGAAAACAAATATGAGACAATCCAAATTGACTCATAAACTCACAATCATGAAAATTGTAAAATCTTTTAACCGAGTTCAACCAAGAAGAGTTTAATTCCTAACCAATTTAATTTTAAATGGTGAAATCATGAAGAAAAACTTGCCAAACAAATATAGAAATAAAAAAAATTAAGGATCAAATTTCATAGGAAAAAAACCATCCATGAAGGATAATTGTTTAGAAAAACAATAACCCAAAAAATACTTAGAACCTAATATAAAGGAAAGGGAAAAAATTACAAAAATAATTTTTAATAAATTAAATGTTACATGATAAAATTAAAATAATTCAATTTAAAAAATTGACAAAACAATATTAATTCATGTTAACTTTTGAAACTGCTGACTCTAGTTGTGAACTCGAGACTATTCTCATAACAATAAAAAAATATAAAAGTTAACCCCCAAATCCCGCGATCATATGATTAAGATCAAGATAACCCAATGAAAGTAAAGGAAACAAAAAAAAGGATAGAAAGACAAATTTAAAATAAATTAAATATTAAAAAATAAAATTAAAATAAATTAATTAAAAAATAATAATCTAGAAAGAAAAAGTTAACTCACGTTAACCTTTTAAATTAATAACTTTGGTAATGAATCTAAAATTAATCTTGTAGAAGGCATATCATAAAAAATAATGAAGTAAATTTAAAAAAAAAAGGTTGAAAATAAAAATAAAAAACATTATATTTTTTTTTAAAAAAAAGGAACAAACAAACCAAGCTAGCATGAGCAAACCTTTTAAACATTGTTTAATATCTAAAATTTATAATTCATGAAATTCTTGATTCGGATTCAATTAAGAAGTTTAATCTCTAATGAATTTAATCTAGAAGGATATAATCGTGACATAATTATCAATTTAAAAAACTTAACAAAGGAAAAAAGATAGCAATAAAAATAATAAGAATCAAATTTAATAAGAAAAAACCAATGGAGAATGAAATTGTAAAAAAAAAAGATAAAACATGATCCTAATCAAATTAAATAAAAAAAATAATGATCAAATTTGAAAAAAAATAATAGGGGGAAATTGGGAAAACCTATAATTTTATAGCTTATTAAAAATAAAATAAAAATTGTAATAAAAGAATGAGAAATAAATTTGAAAAATAAAAAAATAAAAGGGTGAAATAAAAAAACATTTTTAATTCCATGGCCTTTTAAAAATAAAAAAGATAGTAATTAAAAAGACAAGAACCAAATATGAAGAAAAAATAAATTACGGATATGAAATTCAAAGTAAGAGAGAGAAAAAAAATACAATCGAGGATATTAAAATCTTTTTAACACCACTCTAGAATATAATATTTGATAGCTAGACAATCTTATACACGTTGCCTTAACAATGTAGGGTTGTTCACATGTGTCAATAAATTTTTTTAATTACATTTAACTAATATAAATGACAAAAATGTCCTTGAATATCATTGGAATTTATAATAAAACTAATGTGAAATGAAAAAAAAATTCTTACAAGAGAGATATGTTGATTTTGTTATGAATGATATTAAAATAATTACACTATTTTAAAACAATTAAAAAGATAAAAAGCCCTTTAATAATAGGCATTATATTTTTTTTATAGGGTTAAATTAATAATTTTAATGTACACAAAATAAAAATGACGTGTCTAACTTCAGAAAATTTATAGAAGACAATTGTGTTATTGTGAAAAGACTACATAACCCCTAATGTTTAATTCAATGTTTTTTTTTTAACTAAGGGTAATTTAATACTTATTCTATATAATGAATATTGTTTTGAGTTTTAGTGATTGGTAACTTTTCAAGGAGAATTATTTTTTTGTTAATTCAATAATTATAGCTTTAAATAGTATTAAAAAACCATTGCTAAGAAACATTAAATATAGTGGTTAGCATGTAATTAATAGACTTTTAATTTCAATTATTGTTCTTTTATTTATGATGTTATAGTTTTTGAACTCACTTGGGACAAGTCATTGATCTCTAGGTGAAATGAATTCTTTTGTTTTTTTTCTTAAAACAATAATGTTATTTAAAAAAAATTAAAAGAAAATCAACGAGTTTTTACCAAATTTTTCTTAGAGTGATATAGTTGCATGTTAACCTTGATTTTTAAAAATATCATACTAGATTAATTATTTTTTATTTTTATTCAAACCTAACCGACCTAGACTTCAAGTCATGAATTAACCTTGCAGGTTAAGTTTTAAAATAGTGCACCATCCAAGTTTTTAAAAATATTTTCACATTAGATATCCTATTTTATGTTTTTCAATTTACCTTCCCGTACTTTCATAACATAGTTAAACGATTAACAAGAACAATAATATTGTTTGAGAATTTGTTTTATTCACACCCGCACTTATAATATTCGAGTTTTACAATTTGGTTAATTTGGAACTTGTTGCTCAACCCTTTATTTATTGCAAATTGAAAGGCTTTTAATTGGTTAATATATCCTATTTTAATCAAGAAGTTTATATTCATAAGAGCTCATACTTATATTGTTTTTATCATGTAAATGCAGATTCATAGAAAACATTCTCTCGCAAGTACTATCTTGGATACAGGCAGTTTTGGAGTGACTGTGTATCCTAATGTTGATTATGCCTTTATAACTGCTCTTGTGGTGATTCTTGATGAGATCAATTAATGCAGATCGCAGTGGCGAAGATTAAATACAACTTTTATTTTATTACGAGAGAGAAATGTCCAAGTTTAATACCTCTTGTTTTGTTAAAATAAATACAATGTATGTCTTATGGCTTTTTTCTAATGTAAAATGTATGTTGTCTGTGAAATAAAGTGTAAAATATATTATGTTTGTTAAGTTTTATAATCATTTATAGGATAAATTTTGAATTCTAATCAAACTAAAAAATTAATAGATAAATTTGAAATAAATGATCTTTCGATGAACTTCAAATGTTTTTGGAATATTTTCAAGATGCAAACCCAATAATTAATAACTTAATTATTTTGAAATTAATGACATTTTTTTTCTTAATTTTTTTTTTTTGAAGGGACAACTTTGTAAGCAGAGAAATAGAGACCCACAAGGATATATTGGCATGGCTGTATTCTGTGTTGGTTTGATGATATGTCTCAATAATCCACTCTCCACTTCAACATATATTGGCATAAACTTTATCAGCTTATTTTATGCTATTACCTTTTCTCTTTTTTTTTTGGCTTTCAACTTAACTTTATAAAGATACCTCAAACTCTTGAAATCTTTCCATATAGATTCATTCCCACGTTATATATGATTTAGTTATTGGATTAATTATAATGATAGGAAGGAGAATTTTAAGAGTTGTTAAGTTCAAGTCTTATTATTTGTATTTAGACGTATAAATAATTTATTTTTTAATTAAATTCATGCATAATACACTTTTTAGCTGTTGAATTGGCTAAAAACATTATTCGGTTGGAGTTGCTTGGTTGGAGTGTTTGGCTAATACATGATAATCTATACAGAAGATAAATTAAAATGAATTATAAACTTAAATTTTAATACAATTAATATTACAAACTTAATTCATAATAAAATTAATATTTAAAATAAATAATGAATTCATTATTATACTATTTTAATGCTATGAGAGAAGGTGAAAGATGAATTTACACTCTTTTAATTTATGTTAACTAGAAAGTTTCGTTACTTCTTTGGGTGAACATAAAAAAAAATTAACAAAAAACAAAATATTTATATATTGTTAATGTGTTTTTTAAAAACAAGAAAAATTCACAATGTACCTAATTAAATTTAATAAGACAAGCATCGTGTGAAGCTTTGTATTAACTTTCGATCTAAAACAAACAAAACTTGATTTCAGTTATTTTCTTATAAACAAATAACTTAAGAAACATCCTAGTAGCTTCAATAAATCCATTAATAATTTTAAAGTAGCCTTCAATCTTTAAAAAAAATAAAAAAACCAAAAAACATTCTAGAGGCTTGACCAACATTTTTCTACCAAATTAAAGAGTTAAAAACACTAAAATGGAACTTTTATTGGGTAAATGAAAACCGAGAAACCAGTAACAACTATTTGGGTGGTGGAATTATGAGCAATTGATCCACTTCGCCTCTCATCCCTCATTTTTTAGTGACCTTCTCTTTTTTTTCAAATTTAAAAACTAAAATATGTACAAATTAGAATTTTGAATCCAAATGTAAAACCTTAAGAAATGAGGATAAAAAATTAAATCTACTCAATTTATTAATTAAGTAAGAGATATCAAGCATTATGCAATTCATAATATATATTATATTTCTAATTATTCAAGAATATTTTAATTGGTTATTCCCTTATCTCTATTTTAGACAGATGTACACTTATATCAATTGATATTTTTAAAGTGTTATTGTTATCTTTAGAGAATTTCTTAAAAATTTTCTCAGCATAATAAAATTAGAAAAATATAAATCCATTATATTTCTTAGAATTTTTATTTTTAATATGATATTTGCAACACTTACATCTTTCATGTCAAGCTTATTAGCTAACATTTTTCTTGTAAGCTTAATCATGTGATCGTTATTACCTAAAATTAGCACATCATTCACATATAGACATCCAATAACATAACTTTTATTTGTGTTTCTCACATAAATTTATTTATCTATTTCAATTATTTTTAATTCATTTGACAAATAACCTTGTCAAACTTTTATAAATATTGTATAAGTGCTTGATTCAAATTATATAATGATTTGACAAACTTCCAAACTTTCTTTCCCTATTCATTATTAACAACAAACCTCTTGGCTTATATTCCATGTAAACCTTATAGGTCATTATTTTAAAAAGTTATTTTTATATTTATTTGATGTATTTCAAGTTTAGTAATAATTGCAATGGCTATTAACATTTGTATGGAAATTATTTTTGATATGGGTGAAAATGTGTCAAAATAATTCATACCTGCTTGTTTTCTAAAACCGTTAACAACAATTCTAACTTTATGTTTATCAACAGTGCAATTAACTTTCATCTTTCTTTTAAATATCCTTATATTTTGTTTTTCTACAAATATATCACTCTTTATTAGTGAAACTTTATTAGTGAGGTTATCAACCTCACTGATATTGGCTTGAACAATTTTTTTTGTAGGGATTCCTTGTTTACCCTTATTTATAGAATATTTGGTTACCTTTCACAACAAGATTTTTTTTATTTTTGTTGTGAGATTTTATCACCTATTTCGCAACTTTTTTTTTTCAGGGCACTAGAAGAATTGATTATCCTGTTGGATAATTTATTATCATCTTTTATCTTTTATCTTAAAATAAAGTTTTTAATTCTTATTTCATTGTGCTTATACTAAAAATAGTTCTTGAAGTCTTTTCAAAATAATAATAATTTTTTAATTATCCTTAATCACTTAGAATGACTCATTTAGAGACATACCTTCAACATGTATATTGTGTAAAATTAGTTAAAAATTTTGAACTTATCTTATTACATTTCTTGAATAAACCTTCTTGAAATCTAGAAATTTACTAACGATGAATTTAATCATATTAGCATCTTCAACTTCATACTTTTTATCTAAAACTTCCTATAATACTGATTATGAGTATTTTAACTTTTTAACTTTCAAAAATTACTATAAAATGAGTGAATGAAGAGTTTCTAACTTGAATTTTCTAGATTTTACACATTATTTCTCACTTCATTTTTAGAGTTTTTTCTTCTTCTTTTTACGTTTTTATTTTTCTCTTAAATAAAAATTAATTTTCACCATTATCAATCTTTAATTAACCATTATAGAATTAAATTTAGAAAAATCAAGAATTTTTTTAGATTAATATTTCTATTTAATCTCGTATTTATTTGAAGTTTACGGGAATTAGGTTGTAAGACAATATAGCAAGTTTTTTTCACTTTTTTATCATATTTTGAATTATGTTCATTTGACAATTTAAATTTAATAAAAATATTAAATACATATAATTTTCATTAATAACTTGGAAATATTAGATTTTATACTTGGTTCAAATTCTAATAAAATATGAAAGAAATAACGTAATGGTTAACAAATATAATTTTAGTCAAGTTACAAACGAAGCTTTCTTCAAAGCACTTTAACATGCTAATCAAGTCTGAAATTTATTCTATAGATAACAACTTTAAAAAAAAAATTAATGACGTGTCCGACTAAAGTCCACATATATTTATGCTAAACATATACTTAAAAAACCATGCCAACGTTTTACTAACAAGTATTAACAAAAATAATTAATTGGTTGTGTTTTGAAAGTACGGACAAGAACTCAAAGTTTGTATGAACTCCTTTTGAGAATATTGAAAGACAGGCCTAAAAGAACATATAATAATAAAAAAAACATATAGATCTATGTTTCTAGAGCAATAAACAAAAACATCTTATCATCATCCTGTATAAGAAAATTGATGTAAAATGAAATTTGAATTTAAATTTTGTCATCATTATCCTCGGTCGCATCAAGAATTACCACAAGAGCTATTATAAAAGCATAATCAACATTTGGGCACACCGTTACTTGAAAATCGTCTTTCCACCTTATCGTGGATTTAAGATTGTGTTGCTGATGCATCTGCATTTAATAAGCAACACATTAGAACTCTTTTCGAATACATCTTCCTATCTCATTCTGACAAGAGAGGGATAGAAAAAAAAGCATTTCAAGAATTATTATTAAAGCCTTAAAGTGCTCCAAAATCAAAATTGGTTTCGAGCTTACTTGTGCAACAATGGTGTTGGAATTTCCAAGATATATAGTGCATGAACTATCGATAAAAGCTCCTTCGATCCTAAAATCAGGAACGCTTTCTGTCGTGTTAGTAGGTAGGAATACATGTAACTTGCTCGAAACTAATTGGAACAGTGATGACTGCTTGACCGAGAAAAGTAAATCTTTCTGCTCTATGCTTTCTCCTCTGAAAACCTCCCACCTTCCATGTGCAGTCATTAGCTAAAAATATATGACGAAATGCATAATTAATCCCCGATAGTAAATGAAACTATCAACAACGTTAATGGAAACAAAGAATATTAAACGAGAAAACCCCACATTCTACATAGAATGACAAAGATTCGAGGTACAGTTATAAAACTCAACCAAGTCTATGAACTTGTCCAACATTTTAGCAGTCCACTTCAAATGGATCTAAATCAATTTAAAATAATTTTATTTAAAAATTTATTTAAAAAAATATTAATAATAATGTATTTTTAATTTTTTTTAAATCAAACTAAGTTTTATTTAGGTTATAAATAGTCAACTCTTATTTAATTATAAAACTTAAACTAAATTAAGTTGGGTCAAGTTTAATAACATTTTGAGAGATTTTAAAAGACAAAATTCATAATATTTTCAGATGATGCAAAGAAAGAAACACGTTAAAAAAAAAAAAACCCTCCAATTCTTTACCCATGTACTATATATATTTTGTACAAATAATGTTTTATAAACTAATGCCCTTGTGGCCATAAGAAAATTACAATCAAGAAATTATTTAATTAAATTATTATTTAAATTTTAAATTAATGTAAAAAAATTATTTATTCAAGTATATTAATTTATCGAGATTATATAGTATTTTTATTATTATTATTATTTAAAGAAAACAACACTATTCTACAACATGCATGGGTATTGATATTCGAATATACATGCCATACTCATAAGTTTTTTCAAGCGACTTTGGATACAAACTGCCATGACCACATGACCTATCTAAAAAAGGGTCTTAGTTAATAAAGTCAGCATAAGTGTGTGTGGGTACATTATTATTTTAAATAAATTCCTAAAAATATTAACAAGAAAATGTTTATCGAATTCTCAATCATTTTGATTAGTTAGATTTAAAGAGTCTATCTCTATGCAAGATCCACAGATTTTTGTAATAAGAATGGCATTCGAATTATTAATAATAATAATTTATAATTACTAATAAAACTAATTAAATATTTTAGTTACATGAACATTCAATCTTTTGTTTACATTTTAGATAGTTTGTTGAGTATTAATTAGATTTCAATTTTTTTTTAATGTGCATATGTCTGCATGCATATTAGAATCCAAAACCTAATTGGCTATTATTTTCTTAATAATTTCATTATAAAAAGTCTAAATCATTTTTTTTAAATATTGTCTATAACCAAATTTGCTCTTTTTTTATTTATATTTTAGCACCCAAAAACAACAAACAATCTAAAAATCATATAACAGAACCGATCGAGAGAACAAACAAGCCTACCTTATGTTTAAGAGAAACAAGAATGTTACCATATGCGTCTTGCAAATATCGTATATCACGAACTGTTGCGATCTTGCTTTTGACTTGGAAAATGAGATTTCCATCTTCATCAGTAACCTTACAATCATTCATTCCAAGACTAAATGTTTTCTGCATCATTTCTAGGTCTACGGGGTGCTGTGTCACGAACTCTTGCCCTATCACCACCACTGGGCTCTCAGGTGCCGCATTAGCTGCCATTTCCCCTGGAGCTGGCTCGGGATGTTGCCCGGTAGCCATGATCATGCACTCAAACAAGGTGGTATAAGCAGTATGGTGAATCATGTGGTATTTTATATTTATAGTGTGTGCAAATTAGGAGATATACAATTATCGATGCCTATAAATGTGGTGGACAAGGTCTTAATTATAGTGAGGGATTGACACCAAAATCTATTTGTATCACAGCTGGTAACAGGTGCTGTTCGTTCCTAAATATACAAAAAAGTTTTCTAAGTATTGATGAGTATATCCCTTTTTTCTTCTTAGCCAAATTGGGTCTTGCTGTGATTTTTGTATTTAGTGTTAAATTTGATAGAAAATGATAAACTACTTAACTAAATTTATTGTTTTAGTCAGTGTATCATAACTGTTACAATTTACCATTTCAATGCAATCTCCAGGAGTTGTTTCTTATCTTTGTTTATACTAAACTTCATGCCTCATAATTTTTTTTATAATATATATATATATATATATATATGAATTTTGTTTTTAAGATAATCAAGAAATATATTGAAATAGTCATTTAGAGGTTGACCAAAGTAGAACAACAAGAAGTTATTTGTTACATAACCTGGAGATTGCTAAAAACAAAGTAAAAGTTGGAAAAAAAAACATAAAAATACTCAAGTAATTGTTAAATAGTCAGTCACTAAGAATCTGAATATTATCAATCAGTATGACTCCTATCCACTTACTATTGTTATTCGTCCACCTCTGGATGTCGTTTGAAGTTCTAGCAAGGTCATTGAAAGTCTTCAGGACACACCAAGAGATACCCCAACCAAGAAATGAATTTGAACCAAAAATTCCAAGCAAATGTGCATTAAAGTAACAAATGGTCCGAAGCATCTAAATCATCCGTGTTGTAACCCAATTTTGGATTCACTAAAATGTTTTTGTTCTTTTATCTTATTATTCATGACAAAAAATATAATAAAAAAAGAAAAAAAAAAGAAAAAAAAAGAGTTTAAAATATATTTTCTCGAGTCAATCATCATTTTCTGTCAAAACCGAGTCCACCAGGTCAATACGGGTTAAACGATGTCGACCGGGATGAAAAATGAGTTTCGGGTCGTTTCGGGTCAAAACCGTCATTTTCTGTCAAAACCGAGTC